TAGGCTCTGCTGATTCTCACTTTATTCTGCCAGACCAATAGGAAGGATAAGTTGTAAGATCTGTGTGTGCCTATGAAAATTTCACGGCAAACCATACCTCTTGCGACATTTAAGAGTCCAAGTGACTTGGCTACTTTCTACCTTTCCAGTCCTGCTCTCTCTAGCTACACCTACCTCATTCATTCACTCCACTCAGAATGAATTCTGTTCTCTGTTCTCCCATCCCGCTCATCTTTCAGCTCTGAGCTGACATTTTTTTCCCAAAAAGTCTTCTGCAAAATGTAAGGAAGGGAAAGGTGACCTTCCTTTGTGCTATGAAGCATCTTGCTATCTCCTGTTCTAGCCCTATATTCTAATTGTCTGTTTTTCTGTCCCTGTTTCCATCTGAAACTTCTTATTGATAGTGACTTTCTTATGTGCCATACTGTCACCAGTGCCTAGTGTAGCTTTTGGCAGGTACAAAGGCATTCAAAATGGTTGTTCAATAAGTAAATAATGTTAGGGCGTAAACCTTTCCAATGTCCACTTTTGCATTCTGGATTGCAGCCAAACCTTTCTTCTACTGCTGCCTAAATGTGATTTTGTACATTCAATCAACAGATACCAGCTTCAACACTGAGCACTGTGTTGAGACTCTATGCCCAGGCTCCCAGCGTGATGTTTACTATAGAATAGGACCTCATTACATGCTTCTGTAATGAAGTAATTACTACAAAGATGGTCAATATGTTCATTTTCTAAATCATTCAGAAAAGATTTGTGTGTAATTAATAGTGACCCGGGACAGAATATGGGAAAAGCTAAATGGGAAGAGTTGTGTGTAGCTTTTGTTTGCAAAGAATGAGGCAATACAAAAACCTTTGTGGCACAGGGAATGCTAAACTTAAGCAGCCCATGTGGTTGGTCACTGACTCCTGGGAAAGAGACTACTGAATCTGATATGGCCTAGTGCTTTGCTAGTCTTGACAAGGATAATGTGTAGCCTACTGACTCAATGATAAGTTTTTAATGATGTCTCAAGTCCTACCAGAGTCACACGTACTCTCCTTGTGTATTTGCATGTCCGTCGATGCCACTGAGCATAATGGATTGAGAGTTCTGGCCCTGAATCCAAGCAGACTTGGTTTGAAATCTAGAACTACTATCTGGTAGCTATGTGATCTTGGGTACTCAACTGAACCTTATTATGTCTCAGCATTTACAGTAGAGTTGACACCTCAGTGAGTTCTTGTGAGATTTAAATGAACTCATACAAAAAGGTGCTTGACAAATAGTATGAGGTCAATAAATATTAACTGTTTATTATTATTATTGTTTAGGTGTTGTGAACACAGGGTGAAAACCATAGCTGTGGTTTCTGTACTCATGAGAACACTTGTCATTTGCCTGTTTTTCTTTACAATGTAATTAATTCTTTACCTTCCTCTTTGCCTGACTCCTACATGCTATGGTTCCCACACTTCTTGCCAATCACTGGTAGTTTCTTGTCAGATTTGGCTAGCACAAGTTCAGATAACAGACGGAGATTAGGAGGCCAAGAGATTCTTTTTTGGTTAAAGAGAACCAGAGCTGGAAATTAAAGTGGTAAGAAGAGAATTTATTCAGGTATTATTGCAATGGAGGAGAGACTTCATTGTGGAATTTGGCTGAATTCCAAGGATAGCATGGAGATTTATAACCAAAAGCAGGGTAAGGTTCAGTGGATAAAAACATACTAAGAAAACACTCACGATAAAAGGAGGAGACAGGTTAAACAGACTTGACAGTATTCTTGCTGAGGGCAGGGTAGGTCAATCAGAGACCAAGGAGGAGGAATAGGTATTTGGTCAGATACCAAGGGTGATCAGATATCCAAGTGGGGTCTTCTCTCTAAACTGACCTTGCCTGACCACACCAGCCTTGACTAATATGCAGGCCAAAATAGAGACCTGGAGGACTTTGACCAGAGTTTAGTCAAGGAGAGGGTTTCTGTCATGCCTTCACTAGTGGAAGCTATATTGTCTCCATTTTGTCTTTTCAGAGTCTTTTTCCATGTTCGCAGGTCCCACTTGGAAGCCCCAGTTCTGAGGCTTCCTGCCAGATTTCTGCTTAGGGAGTCAGGCCAATTCCGAAGACATTAGAACAAGAGGAAATGACAGATTCCTAATGATGAATATCATTAATCCTTCTCCAGCTGTGCCTGAAGATTATATATGACTTGAGTTCTAAATGTGTGAGCCAGGTCTATGAAGACTCCCCTTTTGCTTAAGCTTCTTTCACTTGCCACTGGGCAAGACCTAATACGATGTGTACTAATCCTTGAAAGCATCCTGAGTTATTATCACTGTGGTAAAGCTACTGGTATTCTCACTGGGTATTTGTTGCTAGAATTCATATAACTGCTATTTATTGTCCTTCCAAGATTATGGTTATGAAGATGAGCAAGTTAAGCATAGTCTTTCTTTCTGCCTGCACAATAATAAGTAATTAATTTTTTTTCAAAAATGTTAACTTTTGCTATACTAATCCTAAAATGTAGTTTTCTCTGGAGATCCGAGTTTCTTGTCCTGGTTGATGTGTATACTAAAGCTAAAGGACATCTCATCCATTTTAATATGAGGCTGTAAACTAAAATGCGCAAAGCAGGAACTTTAGGGGCAAGTTTCCATTTATTTTTGATAAAGTAAATCCCTAGCCTCCAGTTGTTCTTTATGAAACATTTCTAATGCAGGAGGGTTTTGTGTGTGTGTGTGTGTGTGTGTGTGTGTGTGTGTGTGTGTGTGTGTTTTAAAATTAACTGTGTCATTGCTGCAGGACAATCGCTCATTCTGTGGTATGCTTTCTCAGGACTCTTCCTCTCCATTTTCCTATGATGATGCAGTTTGTCTTTTGACAATGCATGGGTCTGCATCTCAGTCACTAATGTAAGCCCTTGAAACTTGCTTGAGACATATCCAAAGTTCATTTACTTTGGGGATTAAAAAAATTATCTTTCATGGTTGATCAATTAAGTATATAATCATGATACAAATGCACATGTTTGTGCACCTGTGTTGTCAATGGGTCTACACGGTTTGTCTTCAAAATGTATGCAGTGGCCTTTTGTTAGTGTTATAATAATATATGGCTAGAATGTAGTTGCCATGGAAACAATAACAAAATTTTATGACTTATGAAAGGTAGGGAGACAGAGTGGTGGTAGCTATGATCAGCTGAAGAGCTACTAGTAAAGTGAAGTTTTAAAAGTAAGAATCCTTTTCTACTTTAATATTCAGATCAGAGCAATCTGTTTTTCCCTTTTGTCCATGAGAATATCCATCACAGCCAGGCTGTAAGCTTACTAGTATTCTTTTGAATATCATGTTATACTCCATTTATTGTGAATAGTGGGTGAGTAGAATTTTGGACTTTCTTGTATTTGGTATATAATGTTTTACATTATATAAAATGGCTTTTGGTTATCAAACATATTTAGATCAAGATTAGTGTCCACAAAAGACATTGCTGCTATTAAAACAGGGAGTTTTTCTTTCATTTGGAGTGCGATGCCCCAAGATTTTCTTTTCATTTTTTAACTATAAGCACATTAGTCAAGTGGACCATATTTGATGCAGTCTCTCATTAGAAGGAAATATTCTCTAGGATCCTTTATAAATTCTTACGCCTTCCTGAAAGTTTTGCATTGTTTAAAGTTTGGACGTTGTTCTAACGTTGAAGTGCATATATCTTGTTTTTTCCATTCATACCATATGTAAGGGGAGTGGGAGTGAATTATGGCTTTAGGGACATGGTGTCATTGTCCTGATAACTCAGTGGGGTTACTCTGTTCCAAAACAGTGTTAAATTCCATGAATGTGGAGATGGTTAGAAAATGACTCCTTCCTTCAAGAATGTATTTGGTCACATGAGTGGAATTGGGACTGGTCATTAAATGCGGACAACACAGCAGGAAGGACAACAGATTCAGCTAAATAGCTGGGTGGAATGGGCAAATAAGTAACAGAGTGGCAAGAAATATTGAGACAGAACCCCATGAAAAGATAGGCCTAGATTATATTATATGTTAGTGAACTTCAAAATTTATAAATGTGCTATGTATAGTTGAGTAAATGTGTCAAAAATTGTAATAAAAGAGACAAAAATCATGCAACTGGGGTTAGCAAAGCTATAAATGGGACAGATTCTAGTGATTAAGGGACAATAAGTTGATTGGTAACATTGGTGGAGCAGAAGAATGATCAGTATTTTCTAGCAATGAAGGTGCTCAGAGGTTGCCGGGGCTCTGAATGACAGGTGAGGACCAGAGGCCCAAGTGCAGACACTTGATGTCACTGAAGGTAACATGGTTTAAACCAATGATTTGGGTTCAAGGTGAACATCGTGCAATGGTGATTGAATAAATTGTCCCTGACTTTTTTGTGAGAAGTAACCACTCAGTAAATGTGGATGAAATTTGGTTGCAAGTAAAACCAGTGTGATTCAGACACAAAAGACCTGTGGGATTTGGCTGATGTTTTGTGACTAGGAAGTCTTGTTACCTCTTAACTCTTCCATTCCTATTTCCTCAAGTGTTTCATCCCTGAGACATTGTTGCATCCAGTCTTTTATTGTGGACATGAATAGTTTTTGTCTATAAAATGTGTATAATATGTCAGAGTTTTCCTCAATGTGGTGCTTTCAGTGAGTTAATTTCTCTGGAGAAACTGGCCCACCTTGATGTCACAGAAATGCAGATATGTTCTTCTCCAGTGTTCACACTCATAGTGAAATTGCGAAGATGGGTTGTAATGTCACCAACTCTGGGGGGTTTTAACTTTTATTTTTTGGAAGCACAGTGGGTAATCTCTGCCTCAAGTTAAAAGGATACTAATTGTGTCCAACATGGGACAGCCATACAGTGGGGCATACTCCCTGCGCGTGTAGTGGAATGCCATACAGATTTTGTTTCTGCATGTTTTCAAATTTGAATGCATTGTGAAAAAATAAGCAGTCTTATAATATGTTTTCTTCTTTTTTCAAAGGATCTTCTTAAGAAATGCTACTCTGCTGAGGCATCTTACCTCTTCCAACAGGATAAGTTCTATGACGTTAGCTATGATACAGGAGACAAGTCTATCCAATGTAGCAGGAGACCAGATGCATTCAAATTCTGGATGACCTGGAAGGCCCTGGGGACATTAGGCCTTGAAGAGAGAGTTAATCGTGCTCTTGCTTTGTCTAGGTACGTGTGTGTGTGTGTGTGTGTGTGCGCTCATGTATGTTCTGTAATAGAAAAACCAAATGCAGCTAACCTTGTTGAGGCTCCATACATATTCTTTTGCTTGTGAATTCCTTCCCTCATGCAACAAACATTTTCTTAATACCTACTATGTGTTAGGAACTGTGAACAGAGCTGCACTTCTACATGCGCTCCAGGATCCTAGCCTCTTGAAAGATACGCAGGTGAAATACAAAGCAAGTCACCTTTTTGGTAAGAGAGGTACCTGGTGCTTCAAGAGCATTCTGGCGAGTTCCGTAATTTGTTCTTAAGGAACATGGGCAGAGTCTTGAAGGAAGATCCTCAACTGAGATCTACTGAAGAGAAGGGGAGAATGATTCAGGCAGAGTCCCAAATCTCTGGATGTGAGAAAATTAAGAAGTCAGTGTGACTTTAAAGACTGAAAGCAGATCTTCGAGAATGGGGACTGTAAAGGGATAAGGGAAAAGGTAATATAGAAGCATTGTGTTTCCTTTCCTTTTATTATCATTAAAACAAAGCTTTTGCCATAACTTTAAGAACACTGGAAAAGCTCTTGAGATACAGGTGCTGGACACTTGCCACCTGAACAGGACTCAGCTACTAAATTTACAGCAGTGGGTACAAATGAATGAGACACAACCAAATTTAACTTTGAATGTGTTTTGTAGATTGTACCCTGCATGGGGTTGAACTTAATGGTGTTCATAAAACATTTAAATATTTGAAATGTATTACCCCCGAATCTGGATTTTTGGCATTTCTCGAAAGGTTAGAAGGCTTTTAATTCTACATTGTACCAATTAGCTGAACATGAATTATGCCTAAATCTATGGAGAACTACACTCTCTGAAACTTCCTGCTGTTTGTGCATGTATTTATTTAAAACCTAGCATTGAGGTATAGGCAAACTGGATTCAGAACCTTGTTTTATCACTAACAAGCTATGTGACTTGGGCAAGTTTCTTAACTTCTCTGTATCCCAGTAAGATAGTAATAATAATATCACCTGTTTCAAATAGTTATTGTGGAGATTAAGAGAACTGATATATTTAAAACAATACCAGAGATGTGCTACATAGTATATGAGTTATAGTTATTTTCTTACATGTTTGACCAGTATAGGTATCAAAGTTTGTGATCTCTCGTTTGGATAGTCTTTCCCTCTTCACTCCTTATTCACATATCACTTGGAAAAGATTTAGTCTTTGGAGATTTATAATAATTTCTTCTTCTTAGAAAAATAGAATAAATATTCTCTGGAACCAAATGGCTGAAACCCAGTGTCTTAAAACAACAATCATTTATTCTCGGGGGTCTGCAATTTGGGTAGTGTGGTTTTACTTCATAGTCAGGAAGCAGGGGTATTAGAATCTACTCTCCACATTTTTTTTTTCCATCTTCCTTTGACTAGCAGGCTGGATGGAGCATATTTTTGTGATGGCCATGAAGAAACCCAAAAGGCAAGTTCATTTTAACTCTGGAATACATTATATCTACTGATTTTCCTTTAGTCAAAGCAAATAACATGGCCAAAAACAGAATACACAGTTAAAGACAAGGCTTTGTTTCTTTCAGAAGACTTTTAGAAATCAGTAATTCTGGTAATTATAGTTTAAGAAGTAGTTTCAATATCTGTGAATATTATGTCAGGATTCTTTGGTGGTAAGCAACAGAAACCTTAACCATGCTATCATAAACAAAGAAAAGCAATTTATTACTTCATGTTACTTGTACGAATAGTGTAAGATGACTCCTGCAATATCTTAAGGGACTTAAAGAATATCATTGGGCTTCAATCTTTCTGTATCATTCAGCAATGTTTTTTTTTTTTTTCATGTTAGATTTCTCCCCATGTAGGAAGGTAGGTGTCAGGCATCATATCTTTATTCTTCTAGGTTCAAGGTCAAAGTCAAAAGGAGAATGTGGCCCTCATAACAATCCCAAGGAAAGTTTAACTATTAATGAGTGAGAGAAATGTCCTTCTCTGAATAAGCAATGGTTTGCTAGGTGAATGTGACACATGCATTGGTTTATCTGAGTCATGTGCCCTCGGTTGTCACTGGGAGAATGTCAACTCCTTCTAGAGAAAATGCTCAGAAACCAGGTGAGGAATGTGTCTTTACTACAAGGGTTAAAGTGCCTCTATTAGAAGTAGGTACTACCAAGTAATGAAAAAATGAAACTGTGTACCATAAATATTCATAATTTTCCATTAAATTAAAATAGATGTCAGGAACCTGTTTCCTGCTTTTATTTTCTTGTACAATTTAAATGTGGTTGAGCCTCTGCATTGTTTTGTCTAAGCTGGGAAGTAATTCAATGACAGGTGTCTTGAAATAAGGCTAGATATAAATATTTGATGATCATATTTATTATGAAGTTAACATTCATCTCAGGGTAGACTTTACTTTATAGTCTAAGGATATTTTCTAATTTTTGCAGAGAAATATCACAGGAGGAGAAATGTTAACATTTCAGTTCAATTCAGTAAACACTTATTGTTTGTAAATGTTTGTCAAGTTGAATTGAATTAACATTTCAGTGAGTACCACTGCAGACTCTTGTGACCTACATTTAAATATTTGAAAAGGATTCCTTTCTCTTTCATGCCATTATTCATAATAGTTCTCTTGATTTCCTTTTACTCGCTTTTTTTTTTTTTTTGCAGTACTCAGGACCTTGCTCTTGTGAGGCACGTGGTGTTGCCACTGGGCTAAATCCATGACCCCTTTACTCAGTCTTGATGCTGTTTTACAAGGGTTGTGGTTGGCAAAAGCCATCCTCTTCTCCCACTCACTCCCAAGGCCAAGAAAAAAGATAGTCCTTTCATTCATGTCAATGGTAAAGAATATGAAGTGATAAACTTGGAGAGAGTTTCTCTAGGATGAAGAATCATAGTAAATTAACAACAGAAGGACTTCTGTTTCATGAATTTATTTCTTTTTTTAAATTTTTACTGGTTAGTTTGCAGTCCTGTTTTACGAAAGAAAGAGAATATTATTTCAATTTTGTGGTCTGTTCTGTTTGCTTGAACCTGTGAGCAGTGGTGTTTTGGTGAATCGACACTCAGGAGGAAAACAAAAAAAAACCTTTTGTACTTCCTGCCAATTTTCGTGGTGTAAATATTCCCATTATGGCAAACTGAAAGTTACCAATAGGGGTATGAAAAATCCTAGAATAGTTAGCAGGCACTAGAAACTAGCTCTCAGAACACCACTGATTATGGGAACCAGCATAATTATCTCAAACATTGAAGGAATAGAATTAAAATACTATTTGCCTTCAAGCCTACTGTCCCATGGGAATTTGCTTCAGAGTTGACTAAATAAAGATATTTCTTATCCATAGTGAGAGCACTCTACCAGGCATAATTTCTACATCAGAGTTACTTTGTTTTATTTCCAAGAAATATAATTTCCTTCAGTAGATAACAAGACAGTAAAGCCATACATGATGATGGTGCCACTATGTTGCTCGTTAGTTATTCGCATGCAGCTGTAGCTATAATATCTACTTCTCTAGGCCCTAGGTCAGGTCTTCTAAATACTGGGAAAACTATGCAACTCTTTCCTACCTGTTCTATTACAGTAAGAATCACACTAATGTTATAGAAACAATGTTCCATGCTTCTGAAAACACATGGAGGTTAATTTTAAATTTTGCATATTAACCTTGAGATGTAAGGACCAGATTTCGATAGACTGATCACTATCCTGATCACATAGCTCTCTTCATCTTCCCCAGGGAAAGTAACAGTATATATTTCTAGGAAGACAATGCTTCTGATTTTATGTGTGGCTAAAAATCTATAAATAAGGGGAAAAGAGTACATAGAAAACCTCTAAGGATTTTGTGAATTTCCATTTGACCCTGTCATTCCAATTGAGGAGAACACATTTCTCTCAAAAGCACATTAATGAATAAATTGACTTTTTCCTTTGGTTATTGGAAAGTCAGTGACATTGAGAGCCTAAAGTAATGTGATTATTAAGCATAATTGAACTCCAGAGGGTTCAGGCTTAAGATTACGGCTTCTGTCACGAAGCAGGAGAATGTGCATCTCTGATCTCTGCCTAGAAAAAAACTAGCAGTGCTTTATAATATCCAGGACTACCTGTTGTGGAGGGCACCTGCTAGGCCTTTGCTGTGGAACTCGGGTTAAACAGGTATTCATTAAGCAGTAATTTGTAAAGCAGGCCTCAAAGAGTCATATGTGTGAATCTTTTCACCAACAAACAGTTCAGAAATTCCCATTCTCCTACTTTATTCAGTCTCCAGCGTATTCTTTATCTATTCCCTTGACACACAATCTCTGCAATCTCTCAAGTGGAATTTATTTTATAGACTTGCATGCATTCTGAGAGATTTATCGCTATCAATCTGGGACCGGTGAGCAGTTACACAATGGTATTTTTGTGCTAGTGTATTTTTCTAGGCAGTGGGAAGGACAGAATCTAGAAGGGCCAATGCGTTCAACTTTTTCTTTAAATTGGCAATTTTTTACAAATCACAGTTGCGGGAGAATAGAGTATGTGGGTGTCTGATGAATCACACCATCCATGGGCTGTGTTCTGATATGTGCAGAGCATACAGGAAGCAGATGGAAAAAATCTGAAGAGTTCTGGGAGGCTCTGTGCATCTATCAGAATAAATTTCAATGAGGAAGATGAGACTGGTAGGGAAATAGGGTCCACAGTGGTTCAGGGAGATGCCTCAGTGCCTGGTTGGTTGAGTAAGGAACTGGGCAGCTATTTCCAGAAATAAAACAATATATTGCACCAAGGACAAGTGAAATTAAAAAAAATAAAGAAACTCATGTAAACTCGAGGAATTTACAGTCTTTAACATTGTATGTAAAGGAAGATTTGTTTTGAAATAAGATTATTAATGTATATTTCAGAATCTAGTCAGAATATTAATACATGCTTTCACCCTTTTGTGATTGGTGAAAACTCTTGCTAATATGTATTTTTTCTTCCCTGTCTTTTATGCCAAGCTTAGTGCAAAGGACAAAGAGAAGCCTGATGACATTATTGTTTCTTTTTAAGTCTACATACTCCCTTAATTTTGATACTAGCTTATGGTTTTTGTATATACACCAAAACTGAATGTATATCTTCTTTTGTGGCTTCTGTTTTTTCTAAGATGTATTTTAATTTTAGGCTATTTCCACTCATTGAAAAAAGTTATGAAGAGTGAATTATCCTTATGAATGTAGACAGCTATGACAGCAAACTTATTTGAATTCTCCCGTAACAACTCATTTCATTTGAACATTAGAGGAGGATAGAGTTCTCTATGCAAGTACTTCTAAACTAGTATTTCTAAACTATGCTCAGAAGATCTCAATAGATGATCTTTTTAAAAATATTTCCGTGGTGAAGTATAATCAGGAAATGCTAACCACTGTGTTATTCTTCTCTTGGAAATTCAGAGTGCTCATCAGGACAATAAAGACTCGGAGAGGACCTGTAGCATAGAAATGTTTTTAACTGTGCTTTCACCAGTAAGCATATACTGTTGATTGCCTCCCCAACAACCACTTTCTCTTTTTGCTTGCCTGTAAAATCTTGGTTTTATTTTTAGGTAGTAATGATCCAGCTAGGAACATTGGTGTAACCAATCCCCTTTTGCCAATGATTAATTTAGGGTTTTGGTATATGACTTGATCAATAAGATACAGATGCCGGAAGAGTAAAGTGAAGACTTCTGGAGAAATTATGTTTAACTGAATAGAGGAGGTGTATGATGAAGAGAAAGTGCCTTTACCCTTGTTCCTTTGATTCCTTTTTGGAGCACTGTTTGGGTAAGGAAGTGACACATGCAGTTGGGGTAGTTATTCCTGTAAATACAGAAGGGGACCTCATTCATGAAATGGCAGAAAATGCCTGGTTCCTGGTGACATTTTTGAGTCATCTAATCAGCTCCATAAATGTCCTCATGAATTGAGCCAAGCATACTTGAAACTGTAGACAAAAACAGTCCAATTGGTATGCCCAGAAATGTTCAAAACATACCTGCTAGTGGAACATTTTCATGTAGAAAGCTTAGTAGCGTGACTTACCGTGTAGCACACTTTGGGAATTCTGGTGTTAGACGTTATCTTTGTGATAGCAGCAGTTCTTTCCCCAGGTAACCTTTACCTTCAACACTGCTGGAATGTGACACTGGGTTTCACAGGCTTTGAAGGTGATTGCAGTGGGAACACTGACTTCATCACAAGGCCTGTGTCTGCATGGATAGTGAAAAACAGTTTCAACTAAAATAATTCAAGCTGGGCATGGTGGTACATGCCTATAACCCCAGCACTCACGAGGCTGAGGCAGGAGGATCACTGTGAGTTCGAGACCAGCCTGGTCTACATAGTGAGTCCCAGGTCAGTCTCAACTACATAGTGAGACCCTGTCTCAAAAAACAAAACAAAGAAACAAAACAAAAAAACCTAAAAAAAAAAAAAAAATCAGATTTGTTTGGGGATGTCTTTCCCCCAACACAGCATTAGCCAGTTTAATAAGAGTATTTTAAACTCAGGCCAGAGATAGGGTGCCTAAGTTTCATAGTCATGATTTGCTAGGACAGCATTTTACTGACTTGGACTCTTGTCTCCATTACAAGCATGCGGAAACTGGGGCAGGCTCAGAGAGACTGAGGGATAATGCCTAGTGTCACCGTGACGATCAGCCGCATGCGTGATTAGCATCTCATAACCTGTAGTCATTTCCAAGGTTTCTGAAGGCGCGCGGCAGCTTTCAGAGGCCCCGGATGTTGAGAGTTAGGGTCTCCCTCCTCGAGGCGAGGTCGCTGTATCACTTTTGATTGCCTGTACCTTAGTACCCCAGAAGACAAGAAAAACGATGGTTCACAGCACGTTTCTCATATAGATAGAGATTGAGGAGGCCTGTTTTGTTTTGTGATTTATATTTTTCATTCAAGATTCTTTTTAAAAATTGCATAGTAACTGTGCCTGTAAGACATGGCAATGAAGCACAGAGAGTTGATAATCCCTAATCCCCATTGCATCCTCTTCCTCTCTCCGTCTGGTAAACAAACCGTAACTATTTATGATATAATTCTTCATATTTTTCTCTGTGCGCGTGTCTGCACACAGATAGACATTGGTTTTTCTCTTTTTCAACAATTTTCTTAAAAAACGGAAATTAAATTATCCACATTCTCAGTACCTCTATTTTATCTCTAATACATCATAAGCATCCCTGTGGATTAATTAAAGTAGATAAAATCTCATTTTAATAGCTGTACTGAGTTATATTGGGTTACTATAGAGCATTTTAATTTACTATCTTGCAAATTTTGGATAGTAATCTTGTTTTTTGTTATTTTGTGTAGAACACACACACACATATACACACTATACATATCTGTGTATGTGTATTTATACTTTGGTTCAAAATATGTATCTTTTTGTCTATCCTTGGTATTATTTTTTTCCTAGTAGACCTGCACAAAAGTTGTTTGGTTGATCAGAAGATACGAGTACTTTATTATTATATTTAAAAGGTTTCTCGCTAACATCCGATGTTGAGAGGCCTTAAAATTTGTTTCCAGTATCATGTAGATAACGTGGCTCAGTATTATTATTTTCATTTGCACTTTTAACATAATAGTGATTATCTTGGAGAAGATGATGTTGTCTTAACTTATATGGAAGGATTACATACAAAAAACCAAAACCAAAACCAAAAAACAAAAACAAAAACCAAACCAAAAAAACCCTCTTTTCTCCAAGCCAGCAAGGTAATTCAGGGACCTGCGGCAAATCCTCATCCAGAATATGGATATGAAACCCATATATTCAGAGGTATATATCCAATCTACTTTATTTGGTTTTTCACACTGGGGTTAAAAGCTGATGTTAATGTATAAGATAGCAATCATATCATTAAAAAGATGTATTTTGGTTTTGTTGAGGTCCAGAGCGTTGCAGTAAACTCAGGAGTATCTTTTTAAATCTTTAACTCTGCCCTTAACTGTATTTTCTTATGTCTAAGCCTTGTCTTGTATCAGAAGTAACAGTTTTGTTATCAGTCCTATTTGTGGTCTTTCTTATTTGTAGATTATAAATATAATTGTGACTTTTACTTGTAGGTACCTAGTAGATGAGATCAAGAAGAGAGAAGGATTCAAGTTACTGATGGAAGTAAGTGATTGTGGAATTGTGCTCCTGATTTTATCAGTCAATAGTGATGAAGGTGGTCATTTTCTGATCTGTTATATTTCATTGGTTTTTGTGTTGCTGACTAAGTCATTAGCTTAATTCATACAGTCCATTATGCTAATTTACTCTATTAGCAAGCATTTTTTTCTTTGTTGGATCACAGGGAATACACTTGCCTTTAAGAATTGAAAATTAAAGTCTTCAATAATAATTACTAGGGATAATGCTGAATAAATTATAACCTCTATCTTGATATATAAATTGCATAATGATTGTACTACAAAAATTCAACTGTGCTGTAGAGATGCCTGCATATGAAAAATCAATTAAGGGAATGTACAATAAAGCATACACTTTTCTCTTGTTATAAAATAACGAGAGCATATTAGCTTTGAAGCAATGGGGAAATAAGCCATTTCGGTTTTGGTCTTGTTAGATTGTTTGCTATATATATGAAATAAGATGGTTGCAAAGATACATTTATTTTAAAATATATGGTTAGGAACTGCAGGATATTACTTATTCCTGATTTTTAAGAAATGGAAAGTATGAGATTATCTTAGATCTTCTTATAGCATGTAATTTATAGATGTTTTTAAACAAGTATGAGATCATGTAAAGATGACAATTTAGGGAGCTTGCTGTATACAAAAAAATCTAACTAATTTTTGGTAACCCTTTACTCAGCAAGATATAGTCAGGAATTACTGTGTGCCAGGCACTAAAGATACAGGATAGGAAAGGCCCCTTCTCTCAGGTGCTTACAAATGGAAAATGAAAGACAGTAAGCAAGCACACTTTACAAAGGAAATGGTTCGTGAGATGTCTTAAGCAAACAGATGGGCTCATGAGAGATAATGTAGTACACAGTAAAACATTTACCAACATGGCCAATTCTATGATAGAATTAAATAGGAATAAAATTCTGAAATAGGGGTGCAGGCAGGATGGTGTGCCCAGTTTGAATAGTAAGGGTAGGAGCTTTTAAGCTTATTTTTGATCTTAGACTTGAATGATGATAAACATCAAGCCATTCAGACCTCAGAAGGAAAGCCATTCTAGGCAGAATCAGTTAACAATCCCAAAGGCTTAAAGTTGAAAAGAGTTCTCTGTGCTTGATGGGTACAGTAGATGATAGGGTCAGAGAAGAAAAGAGACCAGATCAGATAGGTCAAGTAGCTCAAACTAAAACCCTTGGCTTTTATTCTAAGTGCGGTCAGTCATTGGAGGTGTTTTAAAAGGATGGAGTCTGATTCCGATTTCAAAAGATCATGTTGGATGTCATGCGAAGAGAAAAATGTGGTGGAGATGGTAGTGAAGGGAAGATGAGAAAAGAATAAATGAGACAAACTGGGAGAGTGTTGCTATAGCCCAGGTGAGATATGGGGAGAGTCCTCAGCTAGCTTGAGAGATGCAGCTCAGGGAATCCAGAGCACGGCTTCCACTTCTGTGCACAAAGGGAACATCAGATTAGAAAGCCCTAAAATTTCAAAGTTCCTAAAAAACAGAGAGATAAAGGAGTTCACAAAGTTGATATATGAATGACTTCTTATATATTTTTATACATAGCAAGGAAGCAAGAAGACAAATTTAGAATGTGGGACGTTCTATTAGACAGGTGACCTAATTTCTTCAATAGGTCAGTGATGTAAACATAAAAGAGGGAGTGGTGATAATTGCTTTAGGTTCAAAGAGGCTAAGGCTTCCTCACAACCCAATGCAGCATTTAGACTGTTGGGATGAACAAATTAACTCTAAAACGTTTTGGAAGCAGAGAATTTTGAATATGAAATGGCTGAGAGGCTATCACAAAATAATGGGCAACTCCATTAGCCACAATAATGGCATTATAACTGTAAAAACATGTCTGCAGTTTTTAGAAGTGTGAATCTAAGTTTGGATGCAAGAAACAATTTATATGATTTGCTTAAGTTGAGTTTGACTCACTCTTCTAAATTTTTTGAGTTGAGTTACCTGTTTATATTCTCAAATTTGAGTTGTCATACTTCCTCTGGCAATGGGACCAGTGTGTTTATGGAAAGTACTGCTTATCTTGGAAATATACGGTCTTTGACAGCAATGAAATAAAAAAATGATGAGAAATAAGGTGCATGTATAAAATGGTTTTTATATATTCTTCCTAAAGTCTTAGAAAAGTGAGAAAGGAGCCCCTTTCCATCATATTTAGGAAATTACATTCAGATCCTCATGATGAAGGTGAAGGTGAATTTTAATCTGTAGGCATTTTATGGCCCCAGATATTTTTTCTGTATGAGCCAGTCGGTCCTTGGGCAGTAAAGTTGACTTCCTAAATTATCTTTCAAAACTTCTACGAGAAGGGTTTTCTCAGGTGTTGTCGTTTTTCTTTGTGTTTTTGGTGCTAAGAATGGACTCCAGGGCCTTGCACGTGCACAGCTCACTTCACCACTGAGCCACACCTGGGCCCCCTGCTATAAGGATTTTTGTATGCAATCTATTTGCGTTCCTCTTTATTTTGTGCCAAAAAATAGAGTAGAATCAGACCTTGAATTTCACATATAAGTGTTAAGAGTAATAAAGGAGGGGGAGAAGAGCAGAAAAATGAGGACTTGTTAAGCAGATAGTACTAAGAATACATTCATAGGAAAATGGATGCATATTGAGGATATACTCTTAAGTGAAATAAATAAGTCACACATGTGTAAATACCGAGTAGTTTCTCTGGTGTGAATAAACTATAATAGTACATAAGATCCTAATGGTATAATTGACATGTGAAATAGGAAGAAAGGGCTAAAGGTGTAGAGGAAGTGGGAAGGGTAGGGGAAAGGAAATAAGGGAAAAGAAAAAAAATATGAGAAAATAAAGAAATGGAAATAAAGTATTTGTAAATAGGGAAAGGAGGAGGAGGTGAAGGAGGAGGACAGGGGTATGGGGAAAAAATGAGAACCGAGACCTGTCATGTAAAGTTGCAAGATCCCAATGATGAATGTAACTGTACTGTATACCTAAAATGTACCAATAAAATCCATGAGAAAAAAAATAATAAGTGGAACAGTGAAAAACGTAAATGAGCATAACAAAACAGGACCCAGTACTTGAATATTTTTCCCTGAGAACAATGACAAGAATGCATATCTTCTTGAAGATGATTGAAAGTTTTCCTTTCAAGTAAATTCTGCATTATTCATAGTCTTCTGAAATTCATAACTCTGTTTTTCTCTGTGTTGAATCTCAGATCTAATAGATGCTTTCCTAGAGGCATATTCATTTCTATACTTTCACTCACATATTTCATTTTGATGTCTTGGAAAGATCCTAATTATTCAGTTTTCTATTGTTCTTCCTGGGTTCTACATTAGGAGTTATTTACATCATACAGATTTCAGAGTAATAAAGGGCCTTTCAGGACATCTAATTGGCCCACTGCCCATTACAGGAAACCTCTGGACAGCACATCTAACAGGTGTCAGCCTCTACTTGAACACTTTGTGTTGCAGAGAGGTCACTAGTTCATCTTTTTTCCAGGTAGCTCTGATTATTCATATTCTAGTAGATATTCAACCTAACTAATGTGTATTCAGCGTGATGTGATTTATCTCACACAGCAACCCAGTGTTTAATCTTCTTCTTGTAGTTCTGTAACATTTTTCTTTGTTATTCACTCTGCCCTTCTGATTGTCTCCTACTGTGGTTTCTTAGCAAAGGGATAGTTAGACACATGGGAGCCATTGTATTCAGAGGGACGGCAAAGAGTTGGAATGAGTAGAAGACAAGACTTAAGGAAAAGAAGTGAAGCTGGAAATAGAGGTAGTCATTCCATGAAGGGTTTCCTCAGATGTCTTGATTTTTTTCTACCTTCTCTCCCAGTTTCTCTCTTCATTTGACTTTTTCTTCTCAGTCTTTATAAAAAGGTGTCTCCATTTAGGTACCCATTTAAATATTCACCTCCCCTCTTGTCTTTGGTCCTTTATTCTGCCCACATAGTCTCCCTGAAATGTTTTATTCATATCTTGAGCTTTGCTATACAAAGGCCCAATGTCTGTCTCCATCCTTGACTTGTCTCCTAAACTCTCTTTTCTTTGTATAAAATTATGTCCTGAAATTTTCATGTAGACGCCATAGGCACCTCAAATTTAGCATTCTAAAGATGAGGTGCTGACATCTTTTTGACTAAATGCTATATTCTTCTTTTGGCCACTAGTACTGTGATCCATCCAAGCAAAACTGAAGTCATTTCTCACTATCTCCCTTTTCTTTCCCCTTATATACCTGGGGTACTTAGTCTACTGTTTTGGTTCAGGGCCCTGTCATTCCTCAGGCTAACACTATCTCTTAACCTGACTTTCACTTGCAATCTTAGATCTCTCCAGCTCATTTTCCACACTGCAGCTTGGATTTTCCAAACTGAAGTCTGTTCCTTAAAGTAAAACTCTGCAGTGACAGCACATTTCCTCTTAGAACCAGACCAAACTCCCCACTATGCTATATGAGGAAACCTTCCCGAAATGACTCTACCTCCTTTTCCAGCTTTATTTCTCTTCATTAAACCCTGTCCAATAACTCTTTCCAGCTATTTGTCACTCCCTTGAATTTACTGGCTTCTACATGTGCATTATTCCTTTTCCAAAAATATTTCTGTGATTATGAAGTTTCTTTTATAACGCCCATTCCACTGAGCTGCATCACCTAGTGCCTTAGTCGTTTCTGAAGGTAAGAATATAGTGTGAGTCATTTGCTCTTCCAGATGCTTTGCCAATACCTGTAACACAGAAAATTCAGCTTATTAGATTGAACAGTTTGATTGGCCTCTTGGGACATTCTACAAATTTTATTGTTCCCCTCAAATATGATATAAAGAAATTATCATAGCATTGTATCTCAACTAGTACAGATTTTAATGAGGTTATTTCATCCACTTGAAAATGACATTTCTTTCTATTAGTAGTAGCCCAAAGAAAAAACACTAACCTAAGTGCCTGCTGTATGCCAGGTATAGTACTGAATTCTGGAATAAATTATATTTTTATTCATCTACCCTTCCTGTGATTATGAAAACAATGTTATTTTACCTCCGTGTTATAGTTTAGGAAGCTGAAACCTAGAAAATTTGACGTCCCTCCAAAAAAGCGTTGATGAATTTAGAATTCAAACTCATATTGTCCTGATTATAAACTCTGGGCTTTTGATGCTACCTAATATTTGCCTTGAAATTTTCCAATAGTACAATCTTATATGAGTACCTTGGAGCTCAAAGCCGATTAAAATCTACCATGCCAGCTTTTCCTTCATTCTATATTTGCATAATTGATTATTTGAAAGTATATGCTAGTGTGCATTTCAATTTACTAAAATACATAATGCTAGCTTTAATTTTTATTACTATTACTCAGATACAATAACACCACAAGCAAAGGAAGTGATTTTTTAAAAATATGACCTAGTTTTATAGAATTGAACTTTTATATCTTTGTGACCACTAATTTATTTCCCAAGTGATCTCATATCACTTATTCAGTGATTCTTCTGGAA